GAAAACATTTTATATTATTTTACAATATTTCATGTTTTCTTCAAATTAATTTGTTTTCTTCAGTTGTTGGCTGGCATATTCTATAAATGTCAGTAGAACAAATTGGTGATGGTGTTACTTAACTCTTCTATTCTCTTACTGATTTCATGTCTACTTGCTTTAGTACGGGAAAAGAATGCTGTCTTATTGCTACTTTTAATTCTGTTTTATGTATTTTAAAACTTGTTTTGGGGTACATATACAGGATTGTTATATCTTTTTGATAAATTGATATTTTATCATGAAATGTCTTTATTTCTGATTAGTCTTTGCATGGCATATCTTTTTCATCCTTTTTCTTCTAATCTAGTTGTATCTATATTTAATGTGAGTTTTATTGTAGGGAACATATTGTTGGGTCTTGTTTTTTATCGTGTCTTTGCCTTATAATTGGTATGTTTTGACCACTTACTTTTATTGCAATTTTGATATCATTGGGTTTAAACTTACTACCTGTTTTTTGTTTGCTTCTTTCATCTGTTCTTTGTTCCTCTTTTTTATTAGTTCTTTATCTTTTAACATTCCATTTATCTCCAGCCCTGACAACATCACTGTATTATCCATATTTATCATAGTGGATTTTTCTTTTTCATGGTGGATGCTCACCTATATAATTTTAATTTCTCCTTAAGAACTTTCTCAGCATTGATCCCAGATGGCCATTTAAGAACAGCTCAGGATTGCAGCTCCCAGTGAAAGCGCAGAGGGTGAGTGAATACCGCATTTTTATTGCCCACAGACTAGGAAATTCCCAGGCAAAGGAGCTCCATGGGTCACCAGTGCAGCTATTTTGGCCAGCGTGGCTATGAGAGCCGGCGCCGCTGCTTTGCCCCACTCGGCTGCTTTGTCGGTGCCCCAGAGCAGTTCTCCATACAAAATACACCGGTCCGGGTGCCCTTTTGGCTGGCTATTGGAGCCACGGGAAGTTGCCCATTCGTCTGTTTAAAAAGGGGACTGAGCAGGGAACCAGGACAGTAGATTCCAGGGCAAAAAAAGCGCCATGAATCTCAGTGCTGCTGTTTAAGCCAGCGCAGTGAGTCCCCACACGGGAAAGCACTCAGACCCGGCAACTCTTCAACAGGCGACTGGAACACCAACTTAAAAAAAAAAAAAAAAAAAAAAAAAAAAGGCTCTGAGGCAGGGAGCCAAGCAATCAGGCTCAGCTAGTCCCACCCCCATGAAAGAACAGCAATCAGAAACTGTGGATTGAGAGTTTCACAGCAAGTGCAGCTGAACCCGGGACAGTCCAGCTCTGTGGGGGAGGGGCGTCTGCCATTACAGAGGCAGCCCACCACTACGGAGGTAGTCAGCAAATGCTGAGACAGCGCGCCATTGCCAAGGCAACCCGCCATTACTGAAGCATCCCGCCATTGCCAAGGCAACCCGCTACTACAGAGAGACTCCACCTTAACAAAGGCGGGCCATCATTGCCGAGGCAGTTCTAACTACACCCATATAAACAGGACTGCAGGGAAGTTCACTCAGCAGCTGGGCAGAGCCCACTGCAGCTCAGCAAAGCCTCTACAGGCAGACAGTGGCTAGGCTGCCTCCTAGCTGGGCAGGGCAGCTCTGAAGAAAAAAAAAGAAGGCAGCAGCATAACGGAAACTCATAAATAAAGCCCTAAATCCCTGGGACAGAGCACCTGGGAACAAAAAGCGGTTTATGAGTTCTGCCGCAGCAGATCTAACCGTACCTGCCCAGGAGCTCTGAATGAACAATGGGGCTCACAGCTGAGCATTTGAGCTCCTGTAAAGAAGAGACCGTCTCCTCAAGCAGCTACCTGACCTCTGTATATCCAAAGAGCCACCTCATAAAGGAAAGATCAGATTGACACTTGGTGGGTATCCTTCTGGAACAAAGATAGCAGAAGAAGAAAACTGGTAACAACTCTTACTGTTCTCCAGCTGCTGCAGGCGATCCCCAGGCAAGCAGGGCCTGGAGTGGACCTCAGCAGTCCTACAGCAGAGGGGCCAGACTGTCAGAAGGAAATCCAAGAAACAGAAATAAGCTCATCATCAACAAACAGAATGTCCACTCAGAGAACCAATCTGACAGCCAGCAACTACAAAGATGACAGGTGGATAAATCCATAAAGATGGGAAGAAACGAGCGCAAAAAGGATGAAAACATCCGAAACCAGAACACCTCTCCTCCTACAAGGGATCACAACTCCTCACCAGCAAAAGAACAAGGTTGGATGGAGAACAAGTGTGATGAAATGACAGAATCAGACTTCAGAAGGTGGGTAGTAAGAAACTTCTGTAAACTAAAAGAACATGTTCTAATCCAATGCAAAGAAACTAGGAACCCTGAAAAAAGCTTTGACAAAATGCTAACAAGAATGGACAAAATAGAAAGGAATGTAAGTGAATTGATGGAGCTGAAAAACACAACACGAGAACTTTGCAAAGCATGCACAAGTATCAACAGCCGAATCGACCATGCAGAAGAAAGGATAACAGAGGTCGAAGATCAATTCATTGAAATAAAACGGGAAGGAAAGAATAGAGAAAAAAGGGTAAAAAAGAATGAACAAAGTCTCCAAGAAATGTGGGACTATGTGAAAAGACCTAATCTACGTTTGATAGGTGTACCTGAATACGACAAAGAGAATGAATCCAAGCTGGAAAATACTCTTCAGGATATTATCCAGGAAAACTTCCCCAACCTAGCAAGGCAGGCCAATATTCAAGTCCAGGAAATACAGAGAACACCACAAAGATATTCCTCAAAAAGAGCAACCACAAGGCACATAATCGTCAGATTCACCAGGGTTGAAATGAAGGAGAAAATACTAGGGGCAGCCAGAGAGAAAGGTCAGGTTACCCACAAAGGGAAGCCCATCAGACTCAACAGCAGATCTCTCAGCAGAAACCCTACAAGCCAGAAGAGAGTGGGGGCCAATATTCAACATCCTTAAAGAGAAGAACTTCCAACCCAGAATCTCCTATCCAGCCAAACTAAGCTTCATAAGTGAAGGAATAATAAAATCCTTTGTGAACATGCAAGTACTCAGACATTTCGTCACTACCAGGCCTGCTTTACAAGAGCTCCTGAAAGAGGCCCTACATATATAAACGAACAACCAGTACGAGCCACTCCAAAAACATGCCAAATGGTAAAGAGAATCAACACAATGAAGAATCTGCATCAACTAATGGGCAAAACAGCCAG